CTTGGCGCCTGCTGGTCTGCTGTGCGCTCCAACTTGCGCGTGCGGGCTTTGTGCTGGCAGGTTCGCAATCACAGGTGCAAAACGGCTGCGTGCAGGTCCAGAGGGCGCATGTTTCCGCGACGCATGCAGCACTGGCAACTCTGACGAGTGTAGAGCGCACATAGTCCAACACTGCAGGAAGGCAACAAGGTTGGGCGGCCAAGGCGTGCGCGCCATCACGAGCGACAGCGGCAATGGGGTGCACAGCTTGGCAGGCATGCCTGACATCATCCCCCATTTCGTTAGGGTGAAAACCACCATACCATATTGCTAGTAAGAACCAAGTGCTTTGAAGGTGGACAGGCGCTGCAACGGTGCACGCCCAGATTGCGGCGCCGTGGCGCGCTGTGCTGCAGCACCACAAACACATGCTGCACGTCGCCAGTCAACCCCGGTCAAGGGCCTGTGCAGATCATGTTTTTATAAGCATCAAGCGTGTCTGCTTTCGCCGGGCGAGGCTCTGCTACGGCTACCGGTGCTTTTCCCGCCATGGACCGACCTTCCGAGCGCCCTGCCAGTCCAGTAACGTGCGCAGAAACGTTCGCCTCGCCAGTCTCGATTCCGCGAAACGCCTTCAAACACCTCCCCACGAATACATTTGATCATTCCAACACACATCATCAACGCTCTGTGGCCTTCAACTCACGACGACCTGCGAGCAGCACCATCATACCACTGTCTACATACATCTGCACCTGGGCCGAGCCGCGTCTGTGGGCGTTGGGTGCGCCTGCCGCCCCAGCCGCGGCAATACACGGTGGCCTGCAGCTTGCGACTCCAGATGGCCGCCTTCACTGGGGCCAGGATCTCACGCCGAGCACGGGCATTGGCCGCTTGCGGACCAATGCAACAAGTGTCAAGGCGGCGCTGCAGCCAGTATGTGCTCCGCACAGAACGCTGCTGCGTCGATCCAACCCGGCCGGGCAGGCTGCTCCCCCGACGTGTGGCAACGCACGGCGGGGGCCCGTGAACCCCCCTATTTCCAGAGCAGCGGGCGTTCAACGCGCCTGCGGTGTTGTTAGGTCCATGCACGTGCAAGTGCATTCCCCCTCACGTGCACTGGTCGGCCCAGGCAGCCGGCCACGCACGCATAAGGTGGAGGTAAGTGGATGCTGTCTTCTGGTGGCGCAGGCCTTCTCAAGTGAAGACACTACAGTGGTCTGCTATGCACACAAACACACACGCATGCTTTTGGCCAATTCCCAAATGCTAGTAGCACATGGACATGTGTTGTGCGTTATTGTCAGCCTGCAGCTTGCTGTTGTGAGGGAAGCACCTGCAGGGTGTGGATACATGCCTGGGCTGTGGCTCTTTTGAGGCCGCAGCACAGTAGGTGCACAGATGGTGAGGATGCGCTGCAACGCACGAACATGGCCCGCCAGCACCTCTGCAACGCTGCGTGTTTGATGGCGGTGGCCTGCACTCTGCTACGGTGATAAACTTCGTGCTCAAGATTGAATTTCGTGCGCGCATCTGGTGCGACCAGGCGCATGCAAGCGCGACCACCCAGGTAGACGGACACAGTGCAGCCAGACAGAGTGGGTACGTATTCGTAGGGCTACTGCTGCAAGGTGGCGAGTCCCTAAAGTAGGGCTGCACCCATGCTGAGATCCAAAGGGGAAGTCTATCTTATAACTGGAAAAGTTTTTCTTCTGTAGCTTACCGCGTTGAACCACAAGCCTCTCTTGCCGTCCCACTTCTGCAAGATCACATCTGTGCAATGGTTGACCATCTTGGGCCATTTTGTTTGTGGGGAGTGCGCACATGTGCTCTGTATACTTAACCATGCGTGCACAAAGAAACATATTCAGATTCTGTGCATGTATAACGTATATACGGTGTGACATGATACCGGTGTTACGATATCGATACGGTACAAGGGAAGGCAAGCTGATGCATCCCTGTCTCAACTCCAGCACCGCAGCAAGTTCGGTTCACAGTTTCGCAGCACGGAGTTCAAATAGTCACACCAAGAGCTACTGGATCAACTGCGTCATATCAAGCATCCTAGATCGCGCGCGCACGATCTGCCCATCAAAAGTAAATGGTTGAGCACCACTCTCGCTGTAGAGTACCGTACGCTTGGTAGCACCAAATAGCCCTTACTGAAGATGTGTCTTGAAGCACGCAGCGGCAAGCGTCATGTACTGTACTGCATCACGCTAACAGGCAGCACATGCTGACGCCGCGGGATGTGGGTGTTTGACCGCTGCATCCTTGCGTCAATTCCCCTAGGCACCCCAGTCGACATGGGTCAGAGCCCGTTAGGCTACGGCTTGCCACCCCCTACCAACCGAGTCTGCAGCGCCGGCCATGCCGGCGCGCCCACAGTGACTGCTTCACCAAATGTCGCCAGGGCCGTCAATTTGCCCGCAAATGCCAGCCCCACAGGACGGCCTAGCAGCGCTGCCGGCCCAAGTGGCATGGCGGCCGTACTCACAAATGGCAACACAACTAGTCGTGGCATGCCAGGGCCTGCACCAACAGCAGCATCACCAGCAGTGCAAGTGGCAGCACTAAACACAGAGCAAGGAGCACTGCAGGAAAGCAGCACAGCGGCCTCCGTCGCGGCAGCAATCGCGGCCCCTACACCTCACACCTCAGCACCTGGCCGCTTGTTCACGCCGCAGCAGGTCATGGCCGCGTACGGGCCCCAGCTGCAGCGCGCAGACGCCCTCGCGGCCGCGGCTGCGGCTGGCCGCGGCGCTGCGCCGCCGCGCTTCCAAGAGTCTGGGCCCCTCGCTGCGTTGAGCCAGGTGCGGGAGGCGGTGGGCGCCCTGTTGCAGGCCGGCGGCGGCAACCAGCGGACGATGCGGCACTGGAAAGGGGACCTGAAGAAGCTGGTAAGCTCAGCGCCGGGGCATTGCACCAATCCTGAAACACCCTGCATTGAAGTCAGATCAGGCCTCTTGCCCTGCGTGTGTGTGTATGTGTGTGTGTTTGCGCGCGTGCGTGTGTGTGTATGTGTGTCAGTGTGTGCGCGTGTACGTGTGCGCGTGTGCGTAATGCCATGCTTTGCATTGTGCAGGCACCCAGCAAGGTGCAGCGCCAGAACGGCCCTTGCCGCTTCTTGAGTCATGAACCTGGCCCAGCTTGTTCCATTTTGCAGTCCTGCCGTCCTCCATTGCCCCGCCAATGCCCAGGTGGACAGCGGCTTCTCAAACGTGGCAGCCGTCCTGCTCACAGAGCTGCTGGAAGCAGCGGGGTGCTGCGCGGACAACGGCCTGACGCTGGGCGTGGCGCCAGTCTGGTCGATCAACAGAGACCTCGTTGTCAGCGGCCAGGCCGGCCGCCCTCCCGCAGGGCAAGCCGGTGGGGCCGTACCACCACCGATTGGCTACAGAGGCTTTGCTGTGCTGACGCTGCAGGTGGACAGGGCCTAGGGGACACCAGCTGTTAGGGGGTTGCACACTGCAGAATGAGTCTTGCAATGGTGGGAGCCTGATGCCCAACCTCGAAGTGCGTGTTGTGCTGAACATGGCTTGCCGGCAAGATTTTAGAGCCCTGGATGCAAGCAAGCAATCACTCCCAATGCTGCAATCTGCTCTTGTCAGGATGCACATAACGTGCGCGAAGCTCGGGCTGTATTTATGAACGAGGGCACAGTGAGCCCCTCCCGCGTGGCCGCCCTCAAGCTGGCGGGCGTGCGGCTGTGCTACGAGGCGGACGCGTGTGCGGCGAATCTGCACGGCTGTGCGGACTACCGCGAACGCCTGCGCCACCACACCGAACCTCGGCGCCTGAAACCGCCCGCCTGGCGGCGCGCGCCGCTGCCCGCCCGGCCGGCGAAGCCGCAGGCAGGGCGGGAGCAGCGCAAGCGCAAGCAACCGCCGCCGGCGGCGCCGCCGCCGAGGTTGTTCAAGAGGTGGGTGGACCCCGAGGAAGAAGAGCTGGAAGACGACGCGGGCAGCAGGCCAGTGGGTGACAACGGCGCGGCGGGGTAGAACGGTGAAGAGGCGCGACACAGAGCTTGGTTAGGGTCGGCTTTGAAGCTGTGGTCTGCACATGGGCCTCTTGGATGGGGCATTGAGGGACAAACGTGAAACCTGTAATACCATGGTCAGTCGTCATGCATGGCTCTGAGCTTGCGATGTGTGCGCGCTCAGGACTAGTGTGGGTGGTGTATCATGGATGAGCGGCCTCTGCCCCCAGGGTCTGGGGCACAATCACTGCGGTGGGGCAGCGTGAAACGGCTGCATCAAAGTGCCATGTTGGCACGACGTTGCGGCTGGCCCTCAAATCATGCAACACACTCAAATAGGATGCAGGGCAGGAAAACGTTGTGTACACCTGAAGCACCCGCTCTGACTTGCAGCAAGCTACTTGATGCCAAGCTGCTTTCCTTCACCACTCCCAGAATCAGTGGAAACGCAGAGCTGGATGCCCATGAGGCTGCGCGTTGTGCCTCAATATTTTGTTGGCGCTCGAACCAGGCTGACACGACATTTGATGCCCCGAAAGATAGGCGGTGATGGTGGTGTCCTACCAACCAAGCCTGACACAGCGGAACGCTCAGTTCGATCACTGCCTCCGGCTTTGTGCTTGCATCGCACACAGCCGCACCCACCCATGCTCCTGCAGTCCTGCGGCGCTGCTGACCAGCAGATGAGCAACCCTTACCTGACCCTGACTCATGTGGCTGACTCACCCAGTGACATCCCGTTCAAGCATAGACCAGGCGTGGACAGCGGGGCTGTAGTGAGTATCAAGCAAGCGAATAGGATTGTTCAAATTCACGGCTTTGTATGGCCCACCAATGCTGCTCGACGACGAGGCTGGTCACTCCACTGTTTGTTTTGTTTTCGGATTTGTAGCGCCCATCATGTTTGCCTGTTGCGGCACCGTAAAATAAAAGTATGGCTCGACTGTCTGGTAGAGTTCTCGCACTGTCCCTCTGCCCGTGTCGCCATGCACCTGTGATCTGTTGTTGCCATCTGCCCTGACAGCCCTTCAACTGAAGTATGGATCGCTCTAGGCGTGTCCAGGGTGAATTCAAGCGCGGCACGGCCGCTGCCCTGCAGCAACTCGCTGCTGAGCGCGAGCGCCGCGTCGCCGTGGCCGCTGCGCACGCCGCTGCCGCTGCCGCGCACGCCGCAGAGGGCGACCCTTCCATTGAGGATAGCTCTGATGAGGACCAGCCCCTGCTATGGGGAGTGCGCGAAGCCCAGGACAATCATACCCTGACGGCAGGCTCCAAGGACAGCAGCAGCAGCCACGACCAAAGCGAAGATAGTGAGGATGACAGTGATAGTGACCATGCAGAGCGCGCAAAGCCCGAGCAGCCGGCGGCCAGGGGTGCGCCTGCAAGCACTAGCGGCCGGGCGCCGCCAGCGCTGCCGGCCAAGCCGCAGGTGCCGCTGCGGCGCCTCATGCGCGGCGATGGTTCGACACCAGCAAAGGCCGGACCGCCGTGGCGAGAGGCGGGCCTGAGTTCGTCGGGCGCGGCGGCCGCGACAGCGGCAGGCGTGGATGGCCTCGAGTCGATGCTGCAGGGTATGCGTTTGGCAGGCGGCGGCGGCGGTCCCAGTGGAAGCGGCGGCAACGGCGGCACGCGCGCGCCAGGGCCGTCCCAGCAGCAACGCCGAGCCCCCAGCAGCAGCGGCAGCGCCGACGGGTCTGACGCCGAGAGCGACAGCAGCAGCGAGCGCGACGCCAGGCGCCCGCTGCGGCCGGCGGCGGCCGCGGCGGCCCCTGCTCCTGCGGGCGGAGCGTCTTCGGAGGACCTGGTGTTTGAGGGCGGCTTCCGGCTGCCCGGGCGCGTAGCCTCAAAGCTGTATGCCCACCAAGTCGAGGGCGTGCGGTGGCTGTGGTCGCTGCACGCCGCGCGCAAGGGCGGGATCCTGGCGGACGACATGGTGGGGGGGTGGGTTGGCCGAGGGACAAACAATCGTACCGCATACAGTGTGCCATCACAGATGATCATCAGGAGGGGGCTGTGTTGTTTTCTCATGCGTGCTGCAGCTCATGGCTCTTGCCAAGCTTCTGTCCTGCCCGCCTCGGCCATGGTACTGCGCTGTTCATCGAAGACCCACAAGCTGAGCACCATCAGCGGCACACAAACGCAGCGGCGCTTCATACACGCACCCGCCGGCTGGTCTACGTGGTGCGGCCTCGACTCCCATCCCCCCCAGGGGCTCGGCAAGACGATGCAGTGCGCAGCGTTCCTGGCGGGCAGCCTGGGCTCCGGCGCGGGGCGGCGCGCGCTGATTGTTGCGCCGAAGACGCTGCTGGCGCACTGGTGGGTGTCACACGCTGCGGTAGGGGCGGCAGCAGCAACGCGCGTGCGGCGCTTGCTGCGTCCCTTCCGCGGTGGCGCTGGTGCGCCCTGAGCGCAGCTGCTGCAGCCGCCGGCGCCAGCGCCTGCCGGACGCGCGGTCACGCTGTCAACCCCAGCAGGCGCCTCCACCACCCCGCCGCACCCAAAGCCTACAATACTATCCTACGCCCCGCCCCCAAACGCCCAGGGAGAAGGAGCTGGGGGCCTGCGGCATGCGCAGCCGCACCCACCGCTTTTTCGGGTCGGGCGACGGCGAGCGCCAGGCGGCGCTGCGCGCGCTGACGTCGCGCGGGGGCGGCGTGCTGCTGACAACATATGGCATGGTGCTCCACAACGCAGACGCTCTGGCGCGTGGCCTGGGGCGCATCTCCGACGGTGCGACAGCGGCGCCTGCATTGTTGGTAGCAAGTTCAATGCAATGCCTGCGCGTGGCGTTGCGGCCCTGGGGCGCCGCGGCGGGGCGGCTGAGGTGTCGCGGCGGCCCGGATATACGAGGAGGGCAGGCCGCTGTCGCGCGTGTGCTGCAGCAACCGGGGTGGTGCCGGGCAGGGCTGCGTGCGCCAGACGCGGGGCTGGTTGCGTTTACGGGGTCGCGGCCTCTGACAGGCAGCGAGCGTTGAGGGCCGCTGCTGCAGGCCGCATGGCCGCGCGCCTACACTGCTGGGATTCGGACCAGGACCCACGCAGGCCCAGCGGCGGTCCCTTGCGTATGTTTCATCATGGCATTGTTTCCCGCTGCACCCCCCCCCCCCCCATATAGATGAGGAGCGCGTAGAGGCCGGGGAGGGCGGCGGCCGGCTGCTGCCTTGGGATTACCTAATCTTGGACGAGGGGCACAAGGTGGGGCGCGGAAGGCAGCCAAAACAAGAGGCACACCCTTGGCGCGCGGGGCTGGGAGTGCGGTTGCGACTGTTACGCTGTTCCGGTGGTGCTGTTGCACGCAGCCTGTCCGCATGCATCACGTCCAGAGTCGGCTGGGCTTTTGCTGCATTCAGAGGAACAAGTGACGTGCCCTCCATCCAACCCGCCTTTCTTTGATCAATTTTGCTGGGCCAGCAGACATCAGAAAGGGCGCGCCCTTGAACCCCAACAAACTGGCTCCAACCGCCCGCGCCCCGCAGGTCAAGAACCCGAGCATGCAGCTGTCCCAGCGGCTGCGCTCCCTGTCAGCTCGCGTGCGCCTGATCATCAGCGGCACGCCCATCCAGAACAACCTGTCTGAGATGTGGGCGCTATTTGACTTTGCGGTGCCGGGGCTGCTGGGGCCGCTCAGGGCGTTCAAGCTCGAGTTCGAGAAGCCCATCCTGCTGGTGAGGCCCTAGGGTTTAAGGGCAGGGGGATCAGATCAGGGTTTGGCGATGATGGATGTTGAGGGTGGGACGTGTGTACGGAACAGGTTGTGCGACGTGGATTACAAGGGGCCGTCTTGTGTTGAGTGGAGTCGTTCTCAGCAGAAGAGGCGGTCCCAATTGCAAACGTCCTTTGGAGCATATGCCCCTTGGAGCTTTGCCCTTGGGAGCAGATGCCCTCACGGCTGCTGATAGGGTTTAGGGGCTGGACATCCCTCCAGGTTGTCAAAGCATGGTCGCACGCCCGTCAGTGTGTGACATGAACCGTCAGTGCTTCATTACTTTCAGTACAAGCATATGAGCAATACAACAAAACAAAACATGAACACGCTCCCTCCCCAGGGCCAAGACCGTGACGCATTCCCCTGGCAGCGCGAGGCCGGCGCCGCCAAGGCCGCCGAGCTGCGCCGCCGCACCGCGCCCTTCATCATCCGACGAGACAAGCGGGAGGTCCTCCCCGGCGCCGCCACCACCCCTGCCGCCGACGACGGCAAGCCCGCCACCGCCAGCGGCGCTGGCGCCGGTGCCAACGACAGGCCGCCGGCGGGTTTGGAAGCGGAGCGGCCGGGGGCCGAGGGGCAGCAGGCGTCGGCGAGGCCGCGGGTGGGGCGTATGGGGCGCAAGGCGGACGTGGTGGTGTGGCTGAGGCTGGCGCCGCTGCAGCGCCATATCTACGAGGCCTTCCTCAACTCTGACCAAGTGCGCGCCGCGCTCAACAGCACTCGCAGGTGCGGGGGTCCCTGTGGGCGGAGGTGATTCCATATGCATGGATGCGGCGCGCAGGCGGCGTGGGGTCCGCGCGTGCAAAGTTTGGGTCCAGCGCATGCAAAGCAATGCAGATCGACACGCCGGCTCCTCAAGCCTGTCGGTTCGCGCGCCGCCTGTCATCGCTCGGCTGAGTGTAGTAGTTTTGGCGCTCACCCCAACCCGCGGCATTGGCCACCATCAGCCCGCCTGGACGGCCGGCCGCAGCCCGCCTCGCAATCCCCGCGGCTACTGCGCCTCTGGCGTGCCCCCCTCCCTCTAGCGCCGACTGGGCCGCCCATCCTGATTCATTCCCTCCATTTGCAGCCCCCTGGCGGCCCTGAGCGTGCTCAAGAAGATCTGCGACCACCCAGCGCTGCTGTCAAAGAAGGCCGCCAGCCTGGTGGTGGCGGGTGAGGCTGTGGGGGAGGGGCAGCCCGCCGTCGATACACTGCATGCTCGTGCTGTGCAATCCTGGGATGGGGGGCGGGGCGTTGTAATGGTGCGAGGACAAGGTACCATGCAGATTATGAGCAAGCCTGGCACCTTCTCCTCGCATCGGAGGTCAGGGGCAGGAATACCTTGCTGCTGACGCCGTTATAGCCAGCACGCGTCACAGATGATCTAATCGCATTCAAACCTCCTGCGCAGCCGGCTCCCAGTGGGCAAAGGGTGGCAAGAGCGGCGGCTCATGCTCGACCAGCAGCGCCGGGGGCGGCCGGAAGGGTGGCCCCGCGTCCAAGGGCCGTGCGCGCGAATCCTTGGACAGCTTCATCGTCGACGACGACGAGGCCAGCGGCAGTGACGACGCCAGCGACGCCGGGTGGCGGAGCGACGCGGAGTCCGCCTCGGACGCAGGCAGCGGGAGCAGCAGCAGCAGCGACGACGAAGCCGCCGGCGGCGGCAAGAGCAGAAAAAAGAAGGGCGCCGAGGCGCGGGCGCCGGAGGTTTCGGGGTTCAGCGACGAGTGGTGCGACTGGGCGGGGGAGGGGAGCGAGATCGAGGGGCGGCTGGTGGCGGATCTGCGGCAGCGGGGCGCTGAGGCAAGCTGCAAGAGCGCGTTTGTGTGCGCGCTGCTGGACGAGCTGGTGGGGGCGGGCCACAGGGTGCTCATCTTCAGCCAGAGCAGGGTCATGCTCGACATATTGCAGGTGTGTGCGTGCGTGCGTGCGTGCATGCGTGCGTGTGTGTGTGTGTGTGTGTGTGTGTGTTTCTGTATGGTGTGAGTGCGTGCGCACACACATGTGTGTGTGTGTATGTGTGTCTATGTGGGTGCGTGTGTGTGATGCTTTTTGTTTTTTTCAGGGCAATCGGCTCGACATCATGCGTGTGTGTGCGTGTGAGTGCTCTTGTGTGTGCATGTGGGTCTAAGGCAAACTCACATTTGCTTGCAGGGGGCGAGGTGCTACAGTGTGCGGCCTCGCCCTCCTTGAATGCCCCACGCCTGCTGTGTCCACCCATTACAATGCGCTGCATGCGAACTCCCACCCCGCATGCGCCCCGCCGCGCCTTGACCGTGCGCCGCGCAGGCCGCTGTCGAGGCGCGCCGCCTGCCCTTCTGCCGCATCGACGGCGGCGTCGTCAGCGCGGAGGCGCGGCAGGCAGAGGTGGAGCGCTTCCAGGCGGCCTCCAGCAAGATCCCCGTGTTCCTGCTGACGTCACAGGTGGCAGGGCCGCACGGGCCGGGTCCACCCCCCCTCAGCAACGCAGGCTGCTGCTGGGCAAAAACGCAATACCTTTCACCCTTGCAGGGCGCCGCATCGCGAGCTTTTAAGCTGCTGCTTCAACAAATCGGCACGTGCGCTCAGTCCTGAGACAGTGCCTATGATTGGTGTTGTGCGCCTGGAGCTGACAGCCCCACCGTCACGGCTGTGCCCCGCGTTTGCTGCCGCTCTGTGTGTTCAAATCTTGAAACAGGTGGGCGGCCTGGGGCTGACGCTGACCGCGGCTGACCGCGTAGTCATTGTGGACCCCTCTTGGAACCCTGCACAGGTGGGGGTGCCGGGTGGTGTGTGTGTGTGTGTGTGTGTGTGTGTGTGTGTGTGTGTTGGTGCAGAGGTGACGGGAGTTTGGACGCGACTGTATGTGTGGGGGCGTGCCTTTGGCAGCCAGGCTAAAGAATGGCGTGGGACCGCGTATGGAGAGGGGCGCGTGCGCACGCGCACGCATCTTTGCGTTGCGCATACAGGTCACGGGCCGCAGCATGCACCGGCAGAACTGTGGTTGTGATCGGGGTATGATAGTCGCTGTGCTGCAGCCCCACCTGCCTGCAAAGCCTGGCAAATTCCTGGCATATGACATCGCCAGCCAGCAGCCTTCGTTGCCATCCCACCACACACGGCATCAAACCCGGCCGCTCTGCACCATGCACGCCACCTGCGCCACCGCAGGACAACCAGAGCGTCGACCGCGCGTACCGCATCGGGCAGTCGCGGGACGTGGTGGTGTACCGCCTGGTGACGTGCGGTACGGTGGAGGAAAAGATCTACAGGAAGCAGGTGCATGATTGATGGCATGTGGGCAGGAGAGATGAGCGGCTCAGCTTACCAGATCTCGAATGTCCTGCCCTGCCACCATGTAACGGCATGCATGTGTTTGGCTGTGACATATACTCACCGCCCCAACATCAACCAGGGACACCCTGCGTTGGTGTGGCTCCAAAGTGTCCCCCCCCTTCTTCGTGCCGCCGCAGGTGTTCAAGGGCGGCCTCAGCCGGACCGGCACACAGGACGGCGTGCAGCTCAGGTGGGGGCCGCGTACTTCTCACGGGGTGGGTGGGGAGGGGTGCAGGTGGGGGCGGCTGCGACTGCGCGTGGCGGCACAGTGAGGATGTTCTGAGTGGGAGCCGCTCGGTCGCACGGGGCACGCGGCCGCAGCTCGCCCACCTTACATCGAGCGACCCCATGGCGCTTTTGTTTCTGAAACAGTGGTCTGACGTGTGAGAGTCGTGGATGTCGGGCACCGGCGTCGCGTCCGCTGAGCATGCTGGGGTGCCGACCTCTGGTTCTGGAACCCAGTCGTGTCCACACAAAGCCGAGATCCCGAGCCGCCCCTCTGTCTTCCATTTACGAACCCCATGTACAAACCAGGTACTTCACCCACCAGGAGCTGCACGAGCTCTTCAAGATCACGCCAGAGGGCCTGGCCGCCAGCGAGACGCAGCAGCTGCTGCGCCGCATGCACCGGGAGCAGCGCGGCGGCGACGGCGGCGGCAGCGACGCTCAGGGCGGCGGCGGCGGCGCGGGCGGTGCGACGCTGTTGCCGATGGGGTGCGACGAATCGCTCAGGGGCCATATGGAATGGGTGGAGGCGTCCGCCAACTGCGTGGGCACTAGTGACCACGGGGCCTTGTTTGGGGAGCCGGACCCAGAGGGAGAGAGGCTGGAGCGCGCGGGCGCGCGGGCGGCGCGGCGCGGGGGCGGCG